AGTTTTTTGTTTAAATTTTAATAAGTTAAAACTAACCGTGTTAATAAACAATTTAATGGTACAAACAATTTTCATCCAATTGGCAGCTTATTTGAGAATTGCGGAGAGTTTAAGACCTTAATTGAGTACAACAAAAGTTTAAGACCTTAATTACGAATTTTATACAAATTTGGGGCCTCATGCACCACTTTTGCCTTGAATTTAAAGCTGCTTCATAAAATCTTAAGCCAAGCCTTTCTCTGTTTGGCTCTTACTGCATACAAGATGGAGGATGCTAAGCGGCCACTTCCCTCCCCTAATGAAGACGACAACAAAGTCCAAGACCACCTCCTCATATCAACCACCTCCATCTCCTCCACTACCTTCACCGCCAGCACCGATGACATCCCTCCCATCTTAGGTGTCCGAGATTTCTTCAGAGAATCCTATCATGAATGCAAGAAGCTCTGGTATCTAGCTGGCCCTGCCATCTTCACCTCCGTCTGCCAATACTCCCTTGGCGCAGTCACTCAAGTCTTCGCCGGTCAAATCAGCACTCTCGCCCTTGCTACCGTCTCCGTCGAAAACTCAGTCATCGCCGGCTTCTCCTTGGGCCTCATGGTATTTATATATTTCAAATTTTCAGTCATCCAATCAACTATTCTCTTCCTTTTTTGAGTAAAATTGATTACACCGTGATATGTTGATTTAATAGTTCGGAATGGGGAGCGCTCTAGAAACTCTCTGCGGCCAGGCTTTCGGCGCCGGCCAACTGGATATGCTCGGAGTATACATGCAACGGTCGTGGGTCATCCTCAATTCAACTGTCTTACTGCTCAGCTTATTCTACGTATTCGCGGCATCGTTTTTAAAATTAATCGGTCAGACGGCGAGCATATCCAAAGCAGCCGGAGTTTTCTCCATATGGATGATCCCGCAGCTTTTCGCCTACGCAATCAATTTCCCGATGGCCAAGTTTCTGCAGGCCCAAAGCAAGATCATGGCGATGGCAGTGATAGCAGCGGCGGCGCTAGTTTTTCACGCATTGTTCAGCTGGCTGTTGATGCTGAAGCTGGAGTGGGGCCTGGTGGGCGCTGCCGTTGTGTTAAATGCGTCGTGGTGGTTCATTATCGTGGCGCAGTTTCTTTATATCATCAGCGGGGCTTGCGTACCGGCATGGACGGGGTTTTCCTGGAAGGCATTCCAGAACTTGTGGAGCTTTGTGAGGTTGTCACTTGCATCGGCTGTAATGCTCTGGTGAGTATTAACTGCTGTGCTACATTAATTAATCAAATAAGTATGGGCGCCCTCTATCCGATGATTCCTGTTTGAATCAAATTATTACTAATAAGATATTGCATATTTTCTTTCTAAATTTTTTAAAGATTTGTTCAAAATTTATTTTTTAATTAATATTTATAAAAATTAATTAGCTATTTAATTGAAATTTTTATTTATATAGATTATGTATATTAATTTTTAAATTATTTTAATAAATCTAAACTATTTAGTTGGTTATAAAAAATTTAATATCATTAAATATATATAAATAAATAGAGTTTTTTAATTTATGAATTATAAATGTTAGATCAATATGAATATATATGATCTACATGAATACAACTTTTAATTTAACAATGAATTTTAAAAAATATTAATTAAAAAATAAATTTTTAAATAAATCCTCTAAAAAATATTTAAGAAAATGACTTACCTTACACTATTTTCCAAATTTATAATGTCCGCTGGACTTTCTTAATTTCTCTTTTCTGAACACAAGAATTTAGGGGATAGAAAAGTTTTAGATGAATTACCCCATGAGTTTGGATTAGAACGGCCGTTGAATGGAGAAGTCCTCCTAGGGTTTTTTCTAATTCAATAATTAATGATTTATAATTTGGTTTAATTCAAATTGTAAAATATCTTTTTGTTACCTTACGATACAATAAGTGACTTAGACATGACAATTTTAAGACATACTTAGATCCGCTTTTGACCTTTTAAAACATCAATAATTGTATTAATTTGGTGCTTTAATTGGTGCAGCTTAGAGGTGTGGTATTATATGGCACTGATTCTCTTCGCTGGATATCTAAAGAATGTAGAAGTTTCAGTGGATGCCTTGTCCATATGGTGAGCTTATTTTTGTTAAAATATTGAAAATTCATGTATTCGTACCCGATATTGGTGTGAAAAAGAAGAGCGGGCGTTTACTTCATATTTGAGCATTAGGTGTATTGAAGGAGAAACAACGATTAATCATCCACATCATTAATTAGATGATAAGCACATGCATTTATCATTGACCCTGCAAATGCATATTAGTATATTACCAATCTTGTATTTAGCCATGACATCTCACCAATCTAGGTCATCCCAACCTTTATACTGATTACTAATTAAATCACCATGAAGGTTCGTCAATATGGATGGATGTAATTACTAATTAAATCACTTAATTTGATAGTCGATCTTAATCCCTCGAAATTACCAATCTCGTATTTCTTGTTGTGATGATATATAAATGTTATGAAAACAAAAAAAACAAAATGAAAAAAAAGAAACGTTCATCTTACATTTCGCTGGTGTTGAATTGTGTAGCATGAACATATTGGGGTGGACAGTCATGGTAGCTCTGGGAATGAATGCAGCAATAAGGTATGTTGTAAGAAGAAACAAAACAATTGGGAAATGGAAGGTAAACCATACATTCCTAAATCTGATTTTAGTTTGAAAAAATGTCCAGTGTGAGAGTCTCGAATGAATTGGGAGCGAGGCATCCGAGAGCAGCAAAACTTTCATTGGCGGTGGCTGTAATCTCTTCATTCTTGATTGGTGTCGCCATCTCAATTAATTTCTTAATCTTCCGGAGAGAGTATCCATACTGGTTCTCAAACGACACACATGTTCAAGAACTTGTCAGGGAACTCACTCCATTGCTGGCTCTATGCATTGTCATCAACTTCGTTCAACCTGTACTCTCAGGTAACCAGGGATTGCCTTTGCCCCTGGTTGATAAAAAGACAAACAACTCGAATATCGACTTCTAATTGATTGTTTTATTTTTAATCTTGCAGGAGTTGCAGTGGGAGCAGGATGGCAAGCTGTTGTTGCATATGTGAATATTGGGTGTTACTATATCTTTGGAGTTCCTCTTGGTCTCATATTAGGTTACAAGCTTGAATTCGGTGTCAAGGTAACTGCATTTTCTTCTCGTACTTTATATGTAAATGCCTTGAAATCTAGGTTTTGATTAGCACCTTAATTCTGTCTTTGGATGAGTTTTCCAGGGGATTTGGTGTGGTATGTTATCAGGAACAACCTTGCAGACTATTGTCCTGTTTGTTATGATTTATAAAACAAATTGGAACAGAGAGGTAAGTTGGAAAATTTTTGCACTTATGAGTCATTAAAAAGATATGAATATCAACTCAATTCTTGATAATTTGATATGACAAAATGCAGGCTTCTATCGCTAAGGACAGGATTAAGAAATGGGGAGGTGAAGAAGGTTCTAAAGAGAACAATGTGGGAAAAAATATTGAAGAGAAAGCAACATAATTAAGGGGTCAAATGAATTTTTGAGCATATTAGATATCGAGGATGCGAGAGGACACAGTACACGGATGTTCTTCCATACAAAATATAAGAAAAATGAGTATGTATGCAATTAGATTGACAAGTACCTGGGATGGTGCAATTACTTAACTGCAATGCAAGCATTTCATTATGTTCTAGTGTCCAGTGCAGATCCTCCATAGCCAAACAGTTCAAGAGATTTCAAGAAAAAAATTTTTGAAAAAATCAAAGTCAATTGACTAAACAAAGACTCAAAGGGCCAGAATGCATCAAAGCGGACAAACTGATCCAAATCATACTCAACCCAATAATCATCTAATCGATCAAAGACAAGGACTCAACGTTAAAGAGTTTTCAATATTATGGAATGATAAAAAGGACATGTAACCAAGTACACTCCATAAAATTTACACCCTTCGAATCCTACAGACTAATGCAGAATTAAGTACTTCAAAGAAATGCCAAGCTGGGTATGGAAGCCCTTCAGAGTCCCCTACAGTCTAAGGTTGATTTTTTTTTTTTTTGGTCCTTCATAAAAAATGAAAACAAACTAAGAAAGGCTAAATATGCAAGAATCCTGCAGCATCGCTCAAAAGAGTAGAACACAGCCCAGCTGGTCGTTGGGAGAGATGAAAGGTTCTGCCATTACTGGTGCAAGCGGGAAGGAGTGTGCTGATTTGTAGCCCAGGATTGCAAGTGGTGCGAATGCCATTGTTTAAGATTCTCAAGTGCTGCCAATGCCATTGTTTAAGATTCTCAACTTGTGGCATCTAGTTCCTTTGCATTGTTCAAACCATACTCTATTACTGAAATTTTGCACTGTCTAGCTTCTGTTTGCCCAGGATGCCATTTTGATTGTCTTGAATTACTACATTTCAAATAACGGTGTGTTTGCTTAATTTCATTCAGGATAAGCTTTCATCAATGAGTTTATTGTTTTTCATCCATTATCATAGATGTTTCTCAAAGGTTTCAGTGATGCTACTCTTCTTCT